TAGTATTTGTGGTGGTAGATTTTTGTTACTCCTAAATCTGTATTTACTTGGTGGTAGGGTTATTTTGTTGATGGTAGAGTTTTTAGTGCAAACGAATCCTGGTAGAGTTATTTTGCTGTTGTGGTAGATTTACTTCATTTTCGTAGTGGTAGAGTTATATTTTCCATAATTACCAGAATAACATCAGTGGTAGATTTATCGTGTTACGTAGTGGTAGACTTATTATGTGCTGGTAGATAGTTAACTTTTTCACATACCGTGATTGCGTAGTGGTAGACTTTTCATGTGGTATTGAACGGTGACGAACGTTGAAATCAAATGTTGATCAGTGGGATGTTGATTTTGGACGTGATAAGAATGTGAATATTGCAGTGAAGAGATTCAACCTCTATAGCGACTGTTGAAGACTTGTTCATTACATTTGAATATCTATAGAAAGTACATAGAGAAGCAGTTCTTAAAGAAAGTACATAGAGATGTTCAACGAAGGAAGTCATACAGATAGATGCAGCGATCCATATTACACAGTAGAAAATAGACGCTATTAAAACTGAAATCTAAGCAGTTGGTACTGAAGAAAAAGGTAGCACTCGTGGAAAACACATTAATGGGTGTTTGAACCTGCAGCATGGAAGTTCTTCTACTTTGAAAACATTGGGCAACAGATCTGCAGTAGCACTCTGCATTCCCATCTTGGTTCGAGAAACCTGTATTTCGACTGTTAAACAATCGTTCATTGCATTGGAAAATTTGATGATTTTAGTGGACACACAAGTTAAAGAAAGTACATATAGAAATTACTTATAGATGTTCACTGAACGAAGTACATTGAGATTAAAGTATCGATTCATATTACACAATAGAAAGACACGATATTAGAACTTAAATCTTGGAAAATCTTCTACGCTGAAAACATTTGGCAGCAAACCTTCTTGGTTCACATTTGTAGATGGTGTTAAATCCATTATACTGCCAAACCATGTCTCATATGTTTTGACATAACGATTTGGACTCAATGTAAGGATATGTTCTGATTTGGTAGATTTGCTGATAGATTTATGTATGTTCGTGGTAGATTTATACATGATTTAGTGGAAGATTTATGCATGCCGTGCTGGTAGATTTATATTTACTAATGTCTTACCCCTTTATACATGTCAATTACTGGAAATTAGAAGCCAAATCGGTGTATCAAACAAATCTACCATCATTATCAAATCTATTATACCAAATAAGTTACATATATTAAAAATCTACCACCATAATGAAACATATCTCATACCAAAATTAAATCTACCATAACGCTTAACTACTAATAAAATTTATACATCAAATCTACTATCAAGGGAAACCGAAATTTTAATGATCCAAAACCTATTAAAACGGGAAAACAAAAACCCTAGGAACAAAAAATGTTGCAAGCCGCCGCTACATCCATCTCAGAGAAGATCGGCCACCAGAGAATGCGAGGACCATTCACCCATCTGAAACCACTCTCTCGAGGAAGAGATTCACATACTTTTTGAAGCCTCCATAGGGAATTCCGCCGGAGAAAAAGCAACCAAACATAAGAGAAAATGAAAAAGTCGATCCAGAGACAAGCTCTATCGGTCATGGATCAACCGCCGCAGATCTGGCCGGAGAGAAGAAAAAAAAATATAGAAAGAGAAGAGAAAGAAAACAAATGAGTAAAAAAAACAGATTTGGCGGAAGAGAGAATAGAAAAGGAGAGAGAGGAAGAGAAAGAAGAGAAATAAAAAAGATGATCGGAAAAACCAGATCTGGTCGGAGAGAAGAAGAGAAAAGAGAGAGAAAGAGAAAGAGAGAGAGAGAGAAAAATAAAAGAGAAGGAAAAGAAATGAGAGAGAAAAAAATTAGATTTAATATATATATATATATATATATATTTTCCATAATAATTAAAAAAATATTATTTTTTATTTCAAATTTTAAATAATAGATTTTTAATTAATAAAATTTCATTTTATTCTTATAATGGCATTTTCATTATATTATACATGTTTTTGGCTAAATGGTCTTTTACAAATTTATTAAGATTAGTTTGGTAACATGACTATTGTGAATAGTTATTTTAGTCAATATCCTATTTAGTAAGGTTATTTCAGATAAATAACTCAAATTCTTAAAAGAAAGATGTACCGAATTGGGGATATTGATAGATCCAAACCTATCGGATCAGAACCGAATCAGGTAAAATGCCCACCCTTAGGAATTAGGATCAACCATTGCTTCAGCCATTGATTTTTTTTTTAACTTTCTTACTTTAGAAGAGAAGAGAAATGATGTGAATATCATTTCTTCCACCAGTGATGATACCATCTCGTCTACCCCAATAATATGAGGTATACCAAAGATTGGATATTATTACATCTCGTCCAAAAATACTCCAATAATATGAGGTATACCAAAGAATGGATTAATTCCAGTTTGGCTTTCACGAGGAACACCGAAAAAGAGTCAGATTCCTTCGAAACGGTCTAAATGTTTTTTTGCAGAATTTTGGATTTTTATCTTCTTTTTTTAATCAAAGCAATTTTTATCTTCTTTCTACTGCTTTTTTTGTTTTTTTCTTACTAGCCGCATACATTTCTCTTTCTCGTGCAAGAGTATTTGGCAAGCGTGGCATCTCTTTTGGATTCTCTCTTAGAAAAAAAAATTATAGTTTTCTCTTTCAAAAGAATATTGATCACTTTTTATTTTCTAATTGGTTTCATAACATTTTCCTTCACTCTGACAACACAAAATCTTGGCTCTATGGTTGTGTTGGGTCAAAACCATCTCTATTACTTGGCATGTAAACTCTCCAAAGGCAGTAAGAGTCGCTATAGTGTAGTTATTAACTGGGATTTTCTTCATTTGCACTCACACCCATTGGATTCTAAAGTAGTCTTCCGGTGGTTTATTGACCCATCTATTAAAAATAATAGACCATTTATTGTAGCAATAAATTGCTGTCTTTAGGATCTTCTCCATATCATGTTCCTATTTAAAGAAGATTTGAAAGTGGTTTCTTGAGAGGAAAATGCCTCTGACTTTGTTGTACATTTGCCAATTCTTTGGCATCTCCAAGCATTCTGTATTAACTAAATGACCTAAAATATTTGTGATATTGTTCCCATAAAAATTGTATTGTAAAAGATCAGACAGATCAAGAGGGACCTCATCTTCATTGAGAGAGATCCATCAAGTCTTATCAATGCTTGTAGGCATGAAAATCAGTATGTGAAAATAATTCACCATCATTAGTGATATGATCATGGATAGCATTGTGGAAATGGACATGGAATCATAGCTTGTAGCCGAGAAGGAGTATGGACAGTCTAAGCTTGTACCTGAGGAAGCTCTTGAAGTACCTATGACACGGTCAAAGGCTAAGACGTTTAAAAAGGCCTTAGAAGTTCTGCTTAACCAAATCAAGCACCATCCGAATGATGACAAGGCTAATCATTTCCACATTGGTTTGTATTCAAGCCGATGATTAGCAAATGGGTTTGTGGAACACTTTGTACTTTTTTCCTTGTCAATTTTTGTTCCAATTGGTTTTCTTGACAAGATTTTTAACGAGGCAAGAGTTTACCATTGTCCATGTTGCTAATCATAAGACCTAAGCCCACCTCTTTCTCCTTTCACCCGGCTTAGAAAGTTTAAGAGTTATAATTTTCAAGTTCAAACTTAACCTCCTCTTCTTTATTGTTTTGCTTTTTCACGAGAGAGTCTTTGGTGTTTGTACCAAGACTCATCTATATTAGTTTTTTTGTTCTTCCAAACATTTTTCATCTATCTTTCAATCAAACCTTTTTAAGTAGATCATCTCTTGTTTATGTGTAATATCCACAAGAATTCCTGTTTCTCCTTTGCTGCGTAATATCCTTAGAAGAATCAGTTGGTATATCAAGAGCCTTCCGCATCTCTTGATCGGCCTTTCCCCCTTCTATAATCAGTCATCATCATCATTCATCCTTTGTTTTTCATTAACAACAAATCCATTCCATATCTTTTTGGCTTTCAAAGTTAAGATCAAAATGGGAATCATAGTAATTAAACTTGAATTCCAGTGTAGGACTGCAAACTGTCAAATCAAACACCATAATTAAATTTTTGTCTTTGATCTGAACTTAAGATTATTCACTATAAATGCACTATTTTCTAAAGGAGTATCGTTTTAGAATTTTGTTTTTGTTTTATAAAAACTATCGTTTTGTATTTTCAAAGCAAATTTGTAAACAAAAATCAAGTTTTAACCTTGTTATATTAGTATATTAATTAGAAAGAAAAAATTATTTAATGTATTTATAAGAGATAGAGAATAAATTTTATTAAATTTCTTAATTTATGTGAAAAGTGTTAATCCGATACTCTTTATGAAATAGAAAAAAAATATTGATCAATATTAGCCACACACATCTTAAATACAACAGAATGGAACGTTGTATTTAGATCGGAGGATATTGAGAAAACGAAAAATACAAGGTGGAATTTATTATAAAATTCTGAATTTAAATTATTATTTACTTTTAAGAAAATTGAAATTAATAAAGATAAGAAGAGAAAATAATATGTAAGAAATTAAAAAGAACAAAAAAAATGTGAAAAGGGAAAATAATATATTTTGGTTTTTAAAAGAGATTGCTATTAATTTTGAGCAATAAATGAATTGCTAAAATTTAGTAATTACAATCTTTTAAAATTATTCAAATTATGATTTTATTGGGTTGAACTGGGTTTTGCTATTGACCTGATACCGGTTTTGCTATTGTCCTGATACCGGTTTTGCTGGTTTCTAATCGGTTTTAATAGTTTAGTTGAAATATCCGGTTTTAACACTACTCAAACTCGGTTTATTAAGCGATCATGGTTGGACTACCCGGTTTTCAAAACATTAATTATCTATCTACTAACCCTTTTGCGGCGTGAGAAAAAAACACACACAAAATTTCCAGAAACTTACGAGAGAGAGGAAGAGAGAAAGAGAAAGAGGCATGTCGAAGACACTTGTGCAGCCGGTTGGCCAGAAGAGGTTGACGAACGTCGCAGTGGTTCGGCTGAAAAAGCAAGGGAACCGCTTCGAGATCGCCTGCTACAAGAATAAGGTCCTTTCATGGCGGTCTGGCGTGTAAGCTTTCCACCACTCAATCCCACTTTTCAATCCAAAATCTTTTGCTTCATAGACTATAATCGCCCAATTTGATTTCGAATTTGATGTCCAAATTGATCATGCGTTTGCTTAATCTGAAGCGAAACTGAGTATTAGAGGCGCCCAGACTTTGGATTTTCTGTTTTAGGCTTCCTGGTCAAATTGATCATGTGTTTGATTATTCTGGAGCGGTTTGATTCTGATGTAAAGGCCTTAAGGCCTATTTGACTGTTTATCACTGCATAAAAGGATTAGTTCGTTGTTCAAATTGATCATATGTTTGCTTCATCTCAAGCGAAACTGAGTATTAGCGCCCAGACTTTGGATTTTCTGTTTTAGGTTTCCTGTTCAAGTTGATCATATCTTTACTTATTCTTTAACTGTTTGATTCTGATGTGGAGGCCTTAAGGCCCATTTGATTGTTAATCACTGCATAGTATGGTTAATTGGTGTTCGAATTGATCATATTTTTGCTTAATCTGAAGCGATTTGATTCTGATGTGGAAGGCTTAAGAGCTATTTGATTGTTTATCACTGTATAGTATGATTAATTTGGTCTTCAAATTGATCATGTTTTTGCTTAATCTCAAGTATTAGAGCCCAGATTTTCCATTTTAGGTTTGTGATTTTCATTTAATGTTCATAAGATATTGTGCATATTCCGCTTTGTTTCACTAGATTTTATGAAGAAATTTGTGTTGTTACTCATCGAATCTTTCTATATTTGGCTTTAGATAGTTAATGAGATGAGAGGCTAAATGTTTATGTAGGGAGAAGGACATTGATGAAGTATTGCAGTCACATACTGTGTATTTAAATGTTTCGAAAGGAGTTCTTGCTAAATCAAAAGACATGATGAAGGCCTTTGGATCAGATGATCATACGAAAATATGCTTGGAGGTCTGTTATTGGCTTTGTTCTTCATTGTTAATCTGAATTTGTTAGATTTCAGAAGTTCTTGACTCCCCAAAACCTGTCTTACATGTTACTTTTACATCTATTTCGAGTAGATTCTGGATAAAGGAGAGCTTCAAGTTGCTGGGAAAGAAAGAGAATCACAGTTCTCGAGCCAGTTTCGTGATATTGCAACGATTGTTATGCAGAAAACCATCAACCCTGAAACTCAAAGGCCTTATACTATCAGCATGGTAGAGCGGCTAATGCATGAGATCCATTTTGCTGTTGATCCTCATAGCAAGTCCAAGAAGCAGGTGAGTGGTAACATGTTCAATGTTGAAGCACAGTGACTTGTAAGCTTTCTATGAAAAAGCTTTGTTTTTAATTGCTGTAAACTGTGCAGGCCCTTGATGTCATCCGTGAGCTGCAGAAGCATTTCCCTATAGAGCGTTCTCCGATGAGACTGCGTCTCACTGTTCCTGTTCAGAACTTCCCCTCGCTTCTGGATAAGCTAAAAGAATGGGAAGCTTCTGTTGTCTCCAAAGACGAATCTGGAACCCAGATGTCCACTGTAATGATTCTATAATTCTTCTTAAATTTTCTCTAATCCTCTCTCATTGTGATGATACTGATACATTCTTGTGCAGGTTTGTGAGATGGAACCGGGACTTTACCGAGAGTGTGATTCCCTTGTGAGGAATATGCAGGGGAGATTAGAGATACTTGCTGTATCAGTTCACGCGGAAGGTGATACAAGCATGGATCATTACGATGAGCATGATGATATGGCGTTGCAGACCAACAAGCTATTGTTACCTCCTAAAACCGAGACCGATCCCGTCGTTGAACTAAGCAAGAAAATGGAGAAGCAAGAGATTGGTTCTGGTGACAACAACACAAAGCAAGGAGGAGAAGAGAAAGGGACCAAGTGCAGCACTTGCAACACGTTCGTTGGCGAGGCTAAGCTATACAGAGAGCATTGCAAGAGTGACTGGCACAAACACAACCTGAAGCGTAAGACTCGTAAGCTCCCTCCTATTTCTGCTGAAGAATGCTCGGCTGAGATTGATATGGATGACTCTAGAGCAGATTTGAAAGACTACTCTTTCTGAAATTTTACGGTTTTGTTTTTGCATTTAGTGTGTCAGGTTGATGTTAATGCTGAATATTGTAGTCATCTGTGAGTATGAATTACGCAAACTTGTGGGGTTGATCACTGGGTTGTTTTCCCATATTACCAGGAATGAATTTTTATTACTGTTGCAGTTATCAGAACCTTTCTGTCCATAAATATCGTAATAGCTATTGTATTAGAGTATTTTCCGACGTTTTGGATTTTAGATATCATACCCTAGACAAATTATTCGTAGCCAAACCAAATTGCGAGGAATCAAATCAACCAAATTCGGAGGAATCAACCTAATTGTTGGAGTAATTGTGGCCCACAAGTCCTAATTGTTGGAGTTATTGTGGTCCACTCAAGTCCAACAGGCAGATCTAAACTAAGCTAAATTGACTGGGTTTTAATCTTACGGCTTAGGTCCATTCACTCTCGACGATCCAATCCTAAACAACAGATGGTTCCATTCGACGAGGTCGAGCTCCAGCTATACTGTAATGTCCGGCACTCACCAAGGCCCCTGCGGAAGTCATGCTGGAGGTCGAGTGCTCGTCATTCAAATTAAAAAATTTGGCTATTTCTGGCCAACCATGATAGCGAACTGTCAAAGACTATCCAAAAGCTGCGACAAATGTCAGAGGCACGCCCCGATCATCCATTGTCCAGCAGAAAGACTGTCGTCGATCTCCGCACCATATCCATTCACGAGGTGATCAATGGACATAGTAGGACCTATGGTCCCTTCGGGACCTAAGCAATTGAGGTACCTGCTGGTGCTCATCGATTACTTCACCAAGTGGATAGAAGCTAAAGCTTACCAGCAAACAACCGAGCTCCAGGTGCACGGCTTCATCTGGAAAAACGTGATTTGCCATCACGGACTTCCTTATGAAATCGTGACGGACAACGGTTCGCAGTTTATATCGCGAAACTTCAAAGACTTCTGCGCGAAGTGGAAGATAAAAATCTCCTACTCCACACCTCGTTATCCTCAAGGAAACGGGCAAGCTGAAGCAACAAACAAAACCATCTTGAGCAATCTCAAGAGACGGCTCGACGCCAAGAAAGAGAGGTGGTCCGAACACATTTCGGCCATCCTCTGGGCTTGTCGAACCACACCTCACAAAGAAACCAGCGAAACACCGTTCTCACTATCTTACGGGCTGGAAGCGGTGATCCCAACCGAAACTGCAGTTCTTAGCTTTCGTCGGACTCTGTGCCCGACGAACACCGAACTCAGCGAGCAGCTCTTAAGAGACCAGCTCGATCTAATCGACGAACGTCAAGATCAAGCATTGATCAGGATCTAAAATTACCAGCAGGCCGCAGCTCGCTACTACAACTCCAAGGTCAAACACCGGAGATTCAACGTAGGAGACTTGGTCTTGCGCAAGGTACAAGATTACACCAAAGAGCCCGGTGCTGGGAAACTAGGAACCAACTGGGAAGGTCCCTATCGCATCACCAAATTAGTTCGCAACGGCGTCTACAAGCTCATGAAAGTACGAAACGAGGTGCCCGAGATAAGAACTTGGAACGTAATGAACCTCAAGAGGTATTATCGCTAAAAGCACTTTAAACAATCAAACTATGTCATGGCTTGATCCCCTTACGGGGTACGTAGGCCGCTCGACCCACGAGTTCAGCCACCAATTTTTATCAAACTTTTATTCCACAGCATAACAACATCAATAGGCGAGCTACGCGCGACGACCCTACGTTGTAACATCTCCTTTTCTTATTTTTACTTGGAATAATAATTCATTTACTCAGTAATAATTATATTTGTCAAAACCGAGATCACGAACCAAAACGGTTCGAACCACCCTCGTCATACATCTATAAGCTGAAATACATTAAAACAAACTCGAGCTCCACAGCTCGTCTTCGAGGTCAAAACATAGCCCGCCCACCCACACTTCGTAACAAGCAAGCTCTAGCTCACGCATCGTTCACTCGTTAAGGGGGGAGGGGGGTAAAGTCCTATTTAACCGACCTCGAAGCCCAAGCACTCCCAATCTCCCACATCCCGACATAAGCGAGCTACAGTACACATGTACCTCACTCCTCTGGGGGGGGAGGGGGAGACACCTATCCTAGATGCCTTTTCCCAAAAGAACACAAGGTACACATCTCTCATTTTGCAAATCAACAAGTTCGGGGTCCTACTCCACTTCACAGGTGCGGCCAGATTTATAACTCGACTCCAACCATAGCCGGAGCTCCGGACCTCAAAACGGCGAGCCCAATGCAGCTCGCAGTTCGCCAGGAACGACTGAGCCCTATGTCTGGTAACTCAGAGTAAAATCGAACCCCTCTTTTTCCATCTCAAAGCCGAAACTGGGAAATGCCTAGTTCAAAGGAAAGCAAACTGTATTTCGAACACTGAAACTTCATCGCGAAGCAGTTCGACCCATCTCCTAAAACCTAAAGAAAAGTCGAGATAAAAACTTAGCCACTATTCTCATAATAAACGAATTGCCCTCTGCGACCTAGTCACTTTATCTACGTCCGATAAAACGAGCAACGAACTCGCAGCTTACAACTCGAGCATCGAACTCACGACTAGCAACCTGAGCCTCGAGCTCGATAATCCTAGTCCGCTTCTCTAAGTCATTAAACGACTTAGCAAATATCATACTCGAACAAAACTAATGCAAGAGGCAAAGATAAACAAAATCTAAGGCGCAAAGCCCGATTGCATTAAACAAAAGCCTTTTCGGGCACGAATAAGTTCGAAAATAAAAAGGATTAAAGCCCTCTCGGGCACAAGAACCAGCGTAAAAGCCCCGCCGGGCAACCAAGTTCGAGAAACAAATTTAAAAAAAGAGGAAGGGAAAGAGAAAAGAGCCACAGTCAACCGTCGAGCTAACCACCTGCCTTCTCGTCTTCGTCTTCCCTCCTCGTGTCGTTGCTACCTCCTTCTTCCACATTTGTACCGAATTGATTAAGACCAACGGGCGCGCTTGAAGCTGGGTCAACCTCCATAGCTACCGAGTCTTCGGAGATCACAGTGAGATTCAGCTTGCTGATCGAGAAGTCTGAGACCTGGGCAGCCTTAAAAGCCGCTCCCAGATCCTCCTCGTCCTTCTTCACCCTCTCCAGCTCCTCTTCAATGGTAGTGACCCCGACAATGACCTGCTTGAGCATCTCCTTGTTCGCGATGCACTCCTGGAGGTCGCACTCGGCCACACCCTCGGCCTTCTTCTTCTCCCACTTAACCTTGAATCCCTCGATCACCTCCACGAACCTCCAGGACATCTCCTTCCGGGCCTCACGGCTGGCTGTGCGGATTGCACCCTCACGACTCACGGATCAGACATAGGTTCTCCTCCCTCGCATCCGCGGCTTCGTGGTGAGCTCGCACCGCTTCAGCTTGAGCCTCGAAGATCTGGTTGGTGGCCACCTTGAACTTCTCGCTCTTGTCAACCAGCTCGTTCTCGAGTTCGGTGATATGAGCTTGCTGGCCTCTGAACTGCTTAAGGAGGTTAGTCTGGCGAGCAACCTGCGCATTCGCGGCCTCAAGGTCGGACTTCAGCTTTCCGACTACCTTCCTCATCTCCTCGATCTCCTCCAGATGAGGGACGTCCCGCAGCCTTTGCTCAAGTCGAGCATAAAGCCGGTTCCCAGCCTCCGCAGCCTGCGAGCATCGAGGACCAAAGCGTTAAGACAAATAACACTTAACAAAAAAAATGCAAAGAAAAAGGTACACCATTTACCTTTCCCTGGGCCGTCGCCATCTCCACATAGAGCTCTCTCTCGGTCATTTTCTTGAGAGATGGATGTTGGCACCCAGCAGGCTTGAAGTGACGTCACATGGCCGCCATGCCCTCGGAGTCATCCGTGATCGGATGATCCTTGGTGTGCTCGAACTTCCAGTGGAAAGGCCGACTACCCGTCGAGCCACCATTCCCGTTAGACGCCGATGGGCGCGGCTCTGCAGCGGGACTTCCCCTGTCATCTCTCGGCCTCTTGGAGGCAGGCTGGGAAGAGTACTCAGGCTCCTGATCATCAGCAGGCTGCTGGGTCTTGCCCGAGCTTACGGAGATCGTCCCTACTAATTTGGGAGGGGGGTCGGGCTGAGGGTTTCATAATCTGCTCAACCTCCTCGTCATGGAAGTAAGGTGCGGAAGCAGCAGCTGAGGCGAGTGCGGCCTCGAGGGCCTCCTTGACGCTCCAGGAACGAACCCTAGAGCTGTTGGGGCCGGCCGGGGATTTCCTGGCTCTTTGACGAAAAGTTGGCTTGCGAGACATGGCTGAACTTAAACTTGCTGAAATAGAAGAAGGCGGAATAGAACCGAGAGGAAAAACTCCAGCTGTCAGCAAAACAAGTCATAACACGTCACTTGACTGAAATCCAGCGAGCAAAAATCGCGGCACTAACTCACAAAAAAAAAGAGAGACTTTCCGGGTGCAACAACCGGATCTGGGGCAGGTGATGAAAGGGCTCGTCAAACTTGTTCTCGCGTGAACGTGCTCCAGACAACTTCCCCTTGCCTAAACAGCTCTAGCCGTTGCTCGATGTCGGGATCTCTCGCCGCTCAGGATAGCTGACCTGATAAATAAAAAATCCAACAAAGGTCAGAAAACCAGTCGAGCAAAACAAAGTAAGAACAGCTAGCAATCATCCAAGCCTAACTAAACAACCGCTGCCCGCGAATTCGGTCGGCAGTCGGACAAAATCAAAGGCTCCAATGGACGCCTCCTTGACCCAGAATTTGAACCCGATCTTCTTCCAGCCGGAGTCCTTCTTCCGGCTCCCCTCGATGAACTGCCGGTTCGACATTGGGGATGCGTAGAAAGTCTCGGGACGCCGAGCATTGTACTTAACCGAGAAAAACGCCATCAGATCCAAGTATTGAAAGATAACGTTCTCCTCCCGGGCCCGCACGGCACATCCGATGATGGCCCCAACCAGATTCGGGCACATCTGCAGGAAAGCCAGCCGCAGGTCCGCCAGCACCTCGAGGACGAACCGGATAATAGGGAAGA